CCAGTTCAAACTTTGCTTCCCTTTTGCCTGTCATAAAGCCTGCAAATATATCTTCAGAGTCTTCAAGACTATATTAGTTAAGATTAGGTTTGACTGTTGGTCATAAATAACAAAACCAAAAAAACCAAACCAGTTGCTGGCTCTCTAGGTGTAGGAAGGATGGAGTTGATGTGGCAGCCCTGTTCCACTGAGTCCTCAGAGAGCCTAGCTCCTCCCATCATGGCTTCCACCAACTTTGGCCTCTATGCGTGAGATCGATGCCTGTCTGAGATGGAGTTCCAGCTGTCACATTCATGTTCTAGGCAGCAGGATGGAGAACAGGCATGGGGAAGCTGCCCCTGCAGGGAAATTCCCTGAAGCTGCCACGTGACACTTCCACTTTCACTCCATCACTCCATAGAAAATAGTCCCATGGCCATATCTAACTGTAAAAGAGGCTTGGAAATGTCACTCTTATTCTCAGTGGCCACATGCCATGACAAAAATTCAATTACTATGGGAAAAGAGGATATCAGGAACAACCAGCACTTTATAGCATAAGAACATTTGGAATTCCAAGGACCAACAATTGGAATGTAATTAACCCAGAGGGGAGTTCTCACCCTAACCCAGTGCCACTCGGTGCTTTAGTGGGAATTAGTGCTACTATGAAAGAGCAGGGCTTATGAGAATGAGGCATATGCCCAGGGACAGGCAGAGAGGGCAACTAACAAGGGCTTCCCAGAAGGACAGAGGCGAGACTGAAGAGGAGCATCGTTTCCACAGTTTTTCCTGGATGCACAATTGCAACCCTGTCAGCATCAACAAAGAAGACTATGGAAATTGGCGTAAAATAAAAATTCTGTGATAGAGCCTGCAGGGCTGACTGACTACTGCAGTTTATGATGCAGACAGAACTTGCATTGACCGAGCACATGCCAGGCACTAAGCTAGAGGCTTTATGTACATGTTATTTTTGTTGTTTGGTGCCATCAAGTTGGCTCGGACTCCTAGCGACCTTATGTGAAACAGAATGAAACATCACTAGGTCCTGTGCCATCCTCACAATCTTTGCTAAGCTTGAGCCCATCATTGTCAATCCATCTGGTTGAGGATTTTCCCCTTTTTCACTGGTCCTCTCTTTACCAAGCATGATTCTCCAGGGAATGGTCCCTTCTGAAAACATGACCAAAGTACATGAGATGAAATCTGACCACTCTCACCTAATCACTTAATTCTCACAGCAACTTAGTATTTTTCAGGATCATTTTATTTTAAAAATGTGGCAACATTTTTAAAATTTTGAGTAACACGTCCATTTTCATCTCATAATGACCTGCTGCGACAGGGGAGAACTGTCCATTGGGTTACCTAGGCTGTAATCTTTATGAGAGCCAATCGCCAGAGCTTTCTTCCAGAGTGGCTGGGTGGGTTTGAATTGCCAGTCTTCCGGTCAACAGCCAAGCACTTAATCATTGCACTAGCAGGGCTTGTTAGAGACTTTAAATGTTAAAATTACATAGCTAATCTACAGAAAGAAGGTTTTAATCTACTGATCTCGCTCAGTGTGGAACAAGACAACATTAGAGATTCAACGTTCCAAACATATAGTTTCTTGAAAAGTAAGTGTATTTACTTCTTATAAAGTGAGTTGCATAAAAGGCAAGAAAATGAGTGGCTGCTAGTTAAAACCAGGAATGCTTTTGTCAAAGACTAATTTAGTAAAAACCATAACCCTAATTCATTTTAGAAATCCAAAGTTTCATATGTCAGCTGAAATGGATCGAGATGTTCTTCTATTTGTTCATCTAAATATGGTTTAGATCATGAAGTTGAATTTTGTGATGATCCAACTATGATTTTGTCAACAGCACTGTAAATGTTTACATAATCTTATTACTGCTACTTTTTTGGTAGAGTGATAATATGAAGGAAGATGACCTTTCCGTGGAACAAAATGAGAATGACCCGGCACAAACAGGTCTCGGCCAGCATGCTGGTGGGCCTCTCCAGCAGAAGAAAGAGACAGGGTAAAAGTACAGTATGTTATTAGTGCCTCAAGCAAATGGATTAAAACACTGTAGGGAAAATTGAGTGACTGATTAATATATAGCTGACATTTTAACTCAAATACATTTGAAGCTAGACTGTTAAAGCAGGTCAGACAACCAAATTAATGTTTCACCCTAGGGTTGGGTTTTTTTTTTTTAATTGTGATTTGGGTGAAGATTTACAGAGCAAATTCACTTTCCATATAGCACATATACTTTGTCTCATGACATTGACCACAATTTACCACAATGCAACAGCTCCCCTCCCACTTCCTCCTGATAATTACCTCTTCCCTGTGTCCATCCCTCCATGTCCTCCTGCCCCTTGAGCTGTCTCCTGGTGCAAAAGCAGCCCTTCTTTCTCCCATGATTGTTCTTTCTAAGGAGTGAACCTACCTCAGGTAAATGTTCAACTCATACGCCTGTCTTTTGCTTGACTGGAAGCTGCAGGTGTGGGTTCAATTCCAGACCTGAAGGGCCATAGTCTCAGTGGTTCCACCAGGCTCTATCAGACCAGCAAACCTGGTCCCCCTTTTTTTTTTCACCAAATGATTTTGAGTTTTGTCCACATAGTTCTCCCTCTCTATCCAGGATCTCTTCCAAGTGGTTGACATTGGTAGCTGGGCACCATCTAGTTCTTCTGGTCTCATAGTCAATAGGTGCAGATCAGATGGTGTACCAGTCGCTAGGACTGATTGTATCCATGAATTTTTGGTTTTCTTCATTCTTCTTTGCTCTGGACAGGGAGAGACCCATTGTTGCATCTAGATGGCAGCTTGCTAGCTTTTAAGATCCCAGCCGCTACTTGCCAAAGTAGGAGGCGGAACAATGTTTTGTGTAGTATGTTATGCCAATTGAGCTCGATGTCCCCTGCAGCTATGGTCTCGAGCCCACAGGTTCAACTACTCAGTCCCTCTGGGTAGCTGGCTGTCACCAAGCAGTGACTCCACCTTGCCTCTTGTCAGCTCTCCTATACACCTGGGAATTCAGATCATACACGTAAACTTATAGGACTGTTCTCTGCCAACCCTATACACGTTCCTGGGTACACTCCCTGCTTCATAGATATACCTACTAGTTCAGCCTGTCCACCCATCTGTCCACCCATCTATCCATAGGGTTGGATTTTTAATGAGAGTGATTGTGAAGAGAAATTTCTATCCAGCTTTCCTTTTTATATTGTGAAGCCTCTGTATTAGGGGAAAAGAGACCCCAGATTCAAACAGGTTCAATAGAGATACTTTTGTTAAGCCTTGGACAGAACAAAGGCAATCATTCTGGATGAGAGAAACCATCAGCATAAGCATGCTGGCTGGAGTCCACCGAGTCACAGGCATGTGGCTAATTATATATGAACTTAAATACCACAAAATCATGATTAGTGGTAGACAGATTCGTCACTGTTGCAGGTGGGACTACAGAAACAGGGGAAAGACCATGATTGGGAATTGAAGATAGAAAAGGGTTACAGCAGAAGAACTAGATGGTGCCCGGCTACTACTGCCAACCACTTGGAAGGGGATCTATGTAGGAGATCCTGGATAGAGAGGGAGAACAATGTGGAACAAAATTCAAAATCATTTGGAGGAAAAAAAAAAGGGAGGGACCAGGTTTGCTTGTCCGATAGAGCCTGGTGGAACCCCTGAGACTATGGCCCCTAGCTGCCCTTCAGGTCTGGAATTGAACCCATGCCTGTGGCTTCCAGCCAACAATAGACAAGCTTATGAGTTGAATATTTCCCTGGGATAGGTACACTCCTTGGAGAGAACAATCATGGGAGAAAGAAGGGCTGTTTATGCACCGGGAGACATCTCAAGGGGTAGGAGTGCATGGAGGGATGCACACAGGGAAGAGGTAACTATGGGGAGGAAGTAGGAGGGGAGATGTTGCATTGTGGTAAATTGTGGTCAATGTCATGAGACAAAGTGTATGTGAACTGCTGTATGGAAAGTGAATTTGCTCTGTAAATTTTCACCCAAATCACAATAAAAGAAGAAAAGAAAAGGGTTACAGAATTGGTTCTGGGCCTTGACTACCTGGCTCGATGGTGGTCCAGATAGGCTGTGTGTGACTCATGACCGTGCAGCCTGAGTCTTAGCCACAAGGTGGCTACCAAACAATACCAAGACTCCAACTTTAAATTAGAAAAGGACACACTCAGGAAAGTTCCCCAGTCCTTTGTGTGAATATAAGCTACTTTCAACCGTACTCTTCCTGAAGGCAAACTGCCCCTCCCTAGGTTTGTCCTGGAACTTGTCTGTGCACAGCCACAATGCTGGTTTATGGTCAGAAAGAATCCAAATGGCATTTGAAACTTATGTCAAACCCAAAATGGAGTTAGGGCTCCCGTTGTGGACCACAGCCTTCCACAACCCCAGGTGTTTAGAATTTAAACTCTAATACATTCCCTATGTTAAATAAAATTATTTTTCAATTTGGTGTATATAAACTTACCAAACTACTGTGCAGTGAAAGGCATTAATTGTATTTCTCATGTTTGCTAAAGGTACAGTTATGTTATGACCCTACAACTGCTGGGCTTAGATGATGGGACCGAGCCCAGTGATGAGAATCCTGTCCTGATGAGAGGAGCTTACCTGTCTTTTCTGTATCTGCGCCACTTGCGAATCAGGGAGCTGCAAGTATGTGTGTGGTCCCACTTGTCGTTGCAGCCATCTGTTGTGGTCTAGAAAGAGGGGTTGCTTTCCTACCACTCCAGTAGCAACACATTTTCCCACTTTTGCTATTTGTTCTGATTTTTACATGCAATCAGTGCCTGCCTGGGTGGTGTACTCCTTTCTTAGTGGTAGGATTGGCATACTTCCCTTGCTACCTTTAGTAAGTCTCAGTCCATGGGGTGAGGCTAGGCAAAGGTCAGGGTCCTGATCCTGTTTTTCCTTTGTTTCAGCGCACCTGCTTAGGAATTCTGAACTATTTCAGATCAGTTGAGCGAACCTTGACTATCAACACTTCAGGCCTTACCTTGATTGCAGGGAAACTAGTCTCCACCATGGAAGATCCTACCTGGGTAAATACTGCAAAAGGAGGTGTGGGCACCTTGCAAGGCCTAGGAGCTCACCACTATGTCCACAGTACACCTGCTGAGCACAAGGTAAACTATTCTTCTAGGTTTTTTTCTCCTTTCAGTATCCTGTTTCCCAAGACATCTTCTTAGAAGACCTAGAGTTAGTTACCATGATGGAATAAGTAGGGCTTTGAACTGGTTCATTCTGGTTCCACTCGTGCTGAGAATTTGTATTTCCACCCAAGATACTGAATTACAATCTACATTTTATCAGGATCCCCAGGTAATACTTATGAATACATAAGAGTCACCTGGGGATCTGTAAGAGTCACATGGGAGTCTTGTTAAAATGTAGATTCTAATTTAGTATCTTAGATGGAAATGTGCAAATCCTCAGCAGGGGGTTGAACCAGAATGAATCAGTTAAAGGCCTGGGAGTAACCATTTGGGACTTCTTAGGGAAATGGCTTTTCAACCATAGCAAAATGCAGAAGGCAACCCCAAACAGCTCTGCATGCATAATAGAAAGGAAACAGTCTGTTGATTTACAGGGAATTGAGCATGAAGGGCCCTTTGTGTTATCCCAGCCTGAGAACCACTTGTCTATTCAGAGAAACTCTTCTAAGAACCTCCATGGTATTGCTAGAAATGCTTTTTTTGCCCCTTTCCTGTTTTCCAAGTCCCAAATAAGAACATCAATTAAAAAACAGAAGGCTGGCAGTTCAAACCCACCAGCAACTCCTCGAAAGGAAGATTGGGCAATCTTCTTCCGTAGAGATACCGCCTCGGAAACCCAAGGAGGGGTCACACTATAAGTCCAGACAACTTGACAGCAGAGTTTTTAAAAAAATAATAAAATAAAAAACAAAACCTTTTATTCCTCCAAAACACCTGTTTGCCACTTGATACTGTCTATGTCTTATGAATATATTTTTCTATAAAGTCTATAAAATGTGAACCTTGCCTGCAAAAAGCCAATAAGACAAAATTCATGTTTCATCCATTTCTTTGAGAATGAGGTTGAAAATGTCTACATCTTCTTGGAATATTATAACAAAAAAACACACCAAACTTACTGCCGATGAGTCAATTGCGACTCATAGCAACCCCTCCTTGGATTTCCGAGGAGGTGTTTCTATGGAAGTAGATTGTCCAACCTTCCTTTTGAGGAGTGACTGGTGGGTTTGAACCACCAGACTTCTGGTTAGCTGTCGAATACCTTAGGCACTATAAAACACAATAAATTATTGCAATATTTTAATCAATCTATAAGAAGTTTATTCCTGAAAATAGAGGTTAGTATAAACTCTATCTTGTTAATAAGATTTACAAATATGAAAAATAAAATCTATTTACCTCTCACATAAGTCACATTCTAAGCTACCATGAATCCTGACATAACTGCCGCATCTCTCAGGATATGACATCTTGCTACTAACTGAACCCTCACCCACACAAAGTCTAGACCAGTGCTGTCAGAAATATATTACAAGTCACATACATAATTTAAAATTTTCTGGTAACCATATTAAAAAAATAAAAGGAAATGTGTGAAATAAATTTTAATAATATAATCTATTTAACCCAATATACCCAAACTATTATCATTCCAACATGTAATCAATATAAGAAGTCACTGATGAGCTATTTTACATTAATTTTGGATTAAACCTTCAAAATCTCATGTGTATTTATATTTACAGCACTTCTCGGACAAGCCACATTTCAAGTGTTCAATAGCCATGTGTGGCTAGAGTCTAGATTATTTAACAGTACCACTCTACATAATGGAAAATATTTCATTATTTTCCCATTCAGTCACCTAGAATCTAACCTTTACTCAGTAGCCAGGAGACCCTTCTTTTGCTGGTCTTGTTCTCTAACAAGCACTGCCCCTTTGCTCAGCCCCTTACCTCACATAGACTTCACTATCACCTCAAATCTTCGTTTCCTCCTCTGTTGATGCCAGCTTGTAGCTAGTCAAGCACAGTTAGTTGCCTCTCAGTCAAAGATTTATCTAAGGTTTGGCAGGTATGACATGTGCCTTGGACTCAAAGCCACCATAGAGCAGTTTCCTTTACCAGCTGTGAGAGATCATTCAACAAATTAAAACTAATACTTTCATATTTGAGAGCCTCCATGGGTCTAGGCAGACTGTGTGATCTTGCTCTGCTGAGTTTAGAAAGAGAAGAAACTGAAAAAAATGACTTTGAGCACATCATAGTACAATTTTCATCACTGAAAGCAAGCAAGGTACAGTTGTAATTTTCATGTAGTGCCACAGTGAGTTAAGTAAAAGACTAATGAGCTTGACTTGTGTTTTTGAGCTCATATTATGGTGGTGGTGGCTGTTGTTGTTGGGTTTGAATTGGTTCCCATGCATGGTAACCCTGTGGACAACAGAATGAAACACTGCCCAGTCCTGTGCCGTCCTCTCAATCATTGCTATGCTTGAGCCTATTGTTGCAGGCCCTACGTCAATCCATCTTGTGGAGGGTCTTCTTCTTTTCCCCTGCTCCTCCACTTTACCAAGAATTCTGTCCTTCCCCAGAGACCAGTCTCTCCTGATAACATGACCAAAGTACATAAGACAAAGTCTTGCCATCCTTGCTTCTAAGGAGCATTCTGGCTGTACTTATTAGTGTAAAGTTATCTAAAAGACGGTGTCATGTTTGAACAAGAATGCAATTTCAGTGCTTGTCATAGTCGCTATTTTCCATGGGTATACTTCTGCTCTCAGTGGAGCAGAGGGTTAAGATACCTTTAAAGCAAACACACCTATAAAACAAGCACATCTCTCTCTTATTAATATTGATCCTACCCCATACCATAACTGTTAGGTGTTATTTTGCTAATAACCAAAACCAAAACCAAAACCAAACCCACTGCCATCTAGTCAATTCTGACTCATAGTGCCCCATTGGGTTTCTGAGGCAGTAAATCTTCATGGAAGTAGATTGCTATGTCTTCTTTCTGTGGAGTGGCTGGTGGGTTTGAACTGCCAACCTCCGGTTAGCAGTGAAATGCCTTAGGCACTGAGCCACCAGAGTGCCTTTATTTTTATTTATTTATTTTGCTGATAGATTTTTTTAAAAAATCTTTCTCATCAAAGACTCTTTGTCTTGGCTGGGGCATAGGGAAGGGTAGACTAGTTGTGCTGGGGAGGGGCATGGTAGAAATAAAGTAGGGAGAAGGGAGACAAATCCTATCCTACCCACTGCTTCTGGCAGTGGTCTGAGCTTTTGGAAGTTTGAAGTTGCCGTCAGCTGAGATGTGGATGGAGCAGATTTGTTGTGAAGACTAAAATCTCATTTTAAAACATGGAAAATCTGAGATACCTACTAGGTGTTCAGGTGGAAAAAGGAACTAGAGAGTTGAGTATGTATTTTGAAATCTCACTGCCATCAAGTTGATTCCAACTTATAGTGACCCTTAGGGTTTACAAAGCTATAAATATTTACATAAGAAGATTGCCTTGTCTTTCTCCTGCAGAGCAGCTGATAGGTTTGAACTGCTGACCTTCTGATTAGCAGCCAAATGCCTTAACCACTGTGCCACCAGAGCTCCTTAGTAAATGTTTCTTGCACAGAACGAAAGTCTGCCCATAATAAGACTGTTGTGAGATTATAAAAAGGCAACATACATGAAAGTGATTTGCAAAGTATATCATCCTGCTCAAATGCAGAACAATTAATTGTGCTAATATCATTATATTCTACAGACTAGGAGGAGAGTAGAGTAGATAATATATTTTATTTTATTATTAAAAGGTTGTATCCAACGGATTGAGTCATTCACTCAACAAATTTTGATGGAAATCTTAGGCTTACCTGTTACTATCTGAAATTAATGTAGAGATGATTTAGAGTATTGTCTACATTGCCAAAGGGCCTAAAACTCTCTCTTTTTTTCAGTTTTTTTTTAAATTTTATTGTGATTTGGGTGAAAGTTTACAGAGCAAATTCATTTGCCATACAGCAGTTCATACACATTTTGTCTCATGACATTGACTGCAATTCCCCACAGTATAACAGCTCTCTTCCCACTTCCTCTCTGTAGTTACCTTTTCCCTGTGTTCTTTCCTCCCATGCATTCCTGCCCCACCCCCAGCTGTCTCCCTGTGCAAACACTGCCTTTCTGTTCTCCCATGTATTTATTGTTCCAAGTAGTGTATCTATCTCATGTAAATGTTCACCCCATATGCCTGTCTATTGTTTGGCTGGAAGCCACAGGAATCAATTCCAGACCTGAAGGGTAGCAAGGGACCATTATCTCAGGGGTCTCACCAGGCTCTATCAGACCAGCAAAACTGGTCCCTTTTTTTTAAATGATTTTGAGTTTTGTTCCACATTGTTCTCCCACTTTATCCAGGATATCCTGCACCGATCCCTCTCCGAGTGGTTGACAGTGGTAGCCGGGCACCATCTAGTTCTTCTGGTCTCATGGACATATAGGCTGAGAATCAAATGGTCTACTAGTCCCTTGGACTAATTGTTTCCACGTGTCTTTGATTTTCTTCATTCTTCTTTGCCCTGGACAAGGAGAGACCCATCATTGCATCTAGATGGCTACTTGCAAGATTTTGAAATCCCAGTCACTACTCACCAAAGTAGGAAAAATGTTTTTGTGTAGTATGGTATGCCAATTGATCTTGATGTCTCCTATGACCAAGGTCCCAAGCCCACAAGTCCAACTACTCCCTCCCTCCGGGTAGCTGGCGGTAAGGGCCTAAAACTCTTATTACCAAGTAATGGCAGAAACCACTAGGGGGAAAAATGAATGAAGGGCAGCCAATTTTGTTACAGTTACTATATACAGCAAATAGTTATCTTGGCATCTGTTAAATGGTAGATTTAAAAACATAGGAATCATTCCAAAGGTCAGATTATTTCTAACCCAAACAGGTAATTATAGTCCTCCCCTTCCTGCCATTTCTCTAAGCATAATGTTGAAGGATCAACACTCTAAACCACAAAACCTTCAGAATGAAGGTCTTTGATATGGCCGCAGAAGAAAATAAAATAAGAAGGAAATAAAGAAACATTATAGTGACTGAGCCATAAACCTTCATGACGTAAGCTGATCAT